ATAAGGGTAACCACGTTTGGAAAGCTGCTGTATGCGATTTGGAGTAAACTTTTCAGTGAGTGGTGATTTTTTATACCTAAATCTTGGTGGCTTCAAGGAACTTACAGTCCAGGCTGAAAGATTTGTCTGACCTGCTTGATTGCTTGTGACAAAATTGGGAATAGCAGAAACAATCCCGAGCTACCTCCAAATCCTTCAGTGGCTACTCTCATCTATCGAAAAGAAGCCAGGAGTTATTCATTACCAAAATGACAACATTCTACCACTCAGACAGTTCCAACCAGCTTACTACCTTCAGATTTGCACAACTAAAGCCACACAACATTCATGTGTCCTCCAAACTCCAGGGGATAATAATCAGGCTCTTTCCAGGCCTTTCCCATATGGCCCTCTCTAGTTGCTTAGCAAAAAAACTGAGGTGACAGTTCAACTGCTCCTTGTGCCTTTGCTGTTATATCTGCCTTCCTTGACTGCTTCAACCGCCACTTTTTCCAGAGTTCAGCCAAGGCTCATCTTTATTAATATAAAATACTAGTTGACTACCACAAGCAGCACTTCCTCAACAATCCCAGGTGCACTTGTACATACACACCTCACTGCTGCCCTGCATGGAAAAAAAGACAATCGCCGATGTGTGTCCCCATAAGGAAAATCCTTCAGGGCAGAAGTGTTCTGCATTATGCCCCCTACACAGCAGACATTCTAAAAATGTTGCAAAGAATTTGTGGATAAAAGATCATTGCTGAGCTTATTCCTGCTTCTTCTAAAACAAACTACCTTTCTCTGGTTCTCTATAGAAATCCTACTTCATATCAACATCACAAGGCTGCTCTCCACAAAATTTTTAGGCCAATGGACCATCTGAAATCACTGTGACTATAACAGCAGCTACGATTCTGCTCCCTGCTTTCATCTCATTGAAACAATACCCCTGAAGTAAGATGCTTATCCACATCTAATTTGACAAAAATCATGAGAAAAACGATAACTGAAAGGGTGAGGTAAATAGTATAATCTGCTCACCTTGCTTAGACTCAGTGTGAAATTCACAGCAACTAAAATAGTAGAACATAAGAGATAAGCATCCAATTTCCAGAAACATCACATGATATTTAAAAAGTGTAACAGCAAAGTTACAGAACAAAGTCCACAGAACACACATAATCTATTATATAATAAATACATGGATTCAAACTTTGATCTAATTTTAATACATTACTGCTAGAGAAAGGAAACTATTTTTTTTTAATTGCACTCAGAATAAATGTATAAATCTCCTCACAATTTTCATTAAAGCTTCCATGTATTTTGTTGATGGAACAATCGAAGGAGCTCTTGGGGAAAAGATTTGATATTGGTGTAAGAATAATCTAAGAATTGGAACTATTTATAAAGCAAAAAAATTTTTCAAAGCAAACTTCTTGTTTTTCTCACTTGGAAAAGTAGCTATGTTTCATTCAGCAATAACTCACTCATTCTATCTGAGAGTCTGCACAGAAGCAAGACTTCAACTAAAATTGGTTCTGAAGGATCTTTTATGAACACCCACAATGCAGAAGACCCCAATTAAATTTCCAACAAAGCACTGATGTTTTGAGCAAACGAAGTCGTCTCAGGGAGGTCAAGCTATCTGCCAGGATTGTAGTCAAAAAATTAATTACTATCATAACATACGTCAAAACAAATTTTCAGAAGAATACAATACAGTTGTAACTATGTGCTTTGCCTTTTTATATGCAAAACCAATACTCGCTGGAATGTAAATATAGTCATTTATTCAGCACACTTTAGAAAAAAAAAAAGAAAGGGCCCCTTTCCCCTGTGCCCAGGTGAAATCTGAATAAATAACACAGTTTTAGAAAGTCAGAAAACAAGTACAGAAAGAAGATACAGTATAGGTGATATTTCCGAAAGACTGAAGTCCTCTTCACACAAATAACTCATTTTGAAACATTTGGTTTGCAAAGAAAGGAAGTTATTCAAAGCTCCTGAACATCTAGGCTACACTGCAGATAGTCACCTTGCAAAAAATCCTTTTACATTTAACAGTGTCGGTGCTTATAAGGAAAGCACGCTCATCTCTTACAGTGCTTCTTTCATTACTAATTTCTTACTAATTCTCTAAACTACAGTGATTAACTGGATATCTTATTCTTAGTTATTTCTCAATATTTTGGCTCTAAGAGATATTTAGCGACCCTACAGTGACAGTGAAGCTACATGGCGGCAAACCCCTTCTACCATTCTTTTAGATGGAAGAACCAAAACAAAACTAACAGTGTTTAAAAGAATGGCC